GTCTGAAACTGCACAGAGGAAAAAGGGCTGGGGAAATCTGCTCAGTGCCCTAGGTGCCACACAGGCATGGAAGGATTTAAACTAAGGCAGTTTTTGAATGGTTCTTTAGAGATTAAACTGTGGCAGAAACTTGCCTTCTAGGCTCATTTTGTTTTGGAGAGCTTTTCAGTCTAAAGAAGTCCGAGTTTCTTGGAATATTTAATCTAAACATCCCTCCCTTCCAGTGCTCTGAAGTAAAAGAGTTTCTTAAATGTTCCACACCTCACTCCCTCACTAAATGTTGCCAGCTATCTTTAGGATCCCAAAGGAATTCCAATAGTAAATGAAAATACAGTCAAATTCATGCTAACGTACTCCTAAAGAACGACATTACATTTGTGGATGGAATTAAAGTGAGATTCTACTCTGCAAAGTAACTCTTTAAAAATAAGACTATGAAGTTTGAGGTTTATTTTGTCTCAGCAATTTCTGGATTAAATGTCCTTATTTTACAAATATAAAGTAGTTTTTTTCCCTAACTGCCATTCCTACAATCTTCCCATAGGCTTAAAGATTCCAATAGGTTTTTTCTCTTGCACTTTGGCACCAGAAATACAATTTCTACAAGCTAAATTGTAATTAATCTAATACAAATTCTACAAGCCCTCCACTATACCTGTGCAATACCACTGTCTTCCAATTTTGCCCTTAGTAACACCTGTGCAACCCCACTGTTTTGAATGGGTTTTCACAGATGCAACTCATAGAAATTCAGTCAACCATTCTGTTGCTGATGTGCAAGATGGAGTAGAATCAGCAGTGCTCCCATTCTTAGCTGTGTTGTTTTCTAGGGCTAAGAGGAGTAAAAAGTCATTTTTTTGTTGTTGAAGAACAAAGATATTTATCTGGATACATAAAAGGAACAGATTTATTGAGGAAGGAGGTGCCATTTTTATATAGTTAATTTTCAAAATAAACCACACTTTAATAGAACTGCAAAGATTAGAGCTGTTGTTGAATCTTAGTGTGGGAGGCCAGGGTCTTCCTCGAGTCCACTTCCAGTTATTTATAATGTCCTTTCCCCCAGTTCATAGCACGAGGGGTTCTCCAAGTCAAACCAACAGCCAAAAGTAAAAGTAAGGTCCTCTCCCCTCTCTTTCCCTTATTGGAGAGGGGAATATGTATGACAACAAAGAAAGGCAAAGGTGGCAGGCAGTTTTTCTGGATTCAGCCCTTTGGTCTTAGTCTGTCAGTGGGTTTATTATCTTTTAATGGGGTCTATCTCCAGCCCCTCCTCTTTGGGCATACTGCTTTATAGCTGGGCTGTGCAACTTCAGAAGTAGTGTGGCCTGCCACTGACTCCCTCTCGGCTGGCCTGTCTCTGTAGACAAAAAGAAAAGGAGTACTTGATAATCAAGGAGTATGATAATCAAGGTGGGCCGTTTCCAGCACAAATCCAGGGTTTAACAAGAAGGTCTGAGGAACGGGGGGGGGGGGGGGAGGAATAAACAAGGGGAAATAGGTTACTTTTTATAATGACTCAACCACTCCCAGTCTCTATTCAAGCCTAAGTTAATTGTATCCAATTTGCAAATGAATTCCAATTCAACAGTCGCTCGCTGGAGTCTGGTTTTGAAGTTTTTTTGTTGTAATATCGCAACTTTCATGTCTGTAATCGCGTGACCAGAGAGATTGAAGTGTTCTCCGACTGGTTTATGAATGTTATAATTACACATTGTAAGGAGAGTGATCACTTTAGATAAGCTATTACCAGCAGGAGAGTGGGGTGGGGGGAAAGAAAACCTTTTGTAGTGGTAAACACCCATTTTTTCATGCTTTGTGTGTATAAAAAGATCTTCTGTGCTTTCCACAGTATGCATCCGATGAAGTGAGCTGTAGCTCACGGAAGCTTATGCTCAAATAAATTGGTTAGTCTCTAAGGTGCCACAAGTACTCCTTTTCTTTTTGCGAATACAGACTAACACAGCTGTTACTCTGAAACCTGTCTCTATAGACAGCAATCTCTGAGGCAGAACAGCTGTTCATCACCCCCTCCTATAGCAGGTTTTCCCTTCCAAGCTCACCTCCATCCTGATAGAACAAGCCTTGCAGGTGCACCTCATTGGTGCTGAACAAGTCCAGAAGAGCTGCTTGAGTCTCCTCCTCACCCCACCCTGCAAGAGTGAATACGCAGAATATAGAATAGACTCTTAGTGGTTTTGTTTTGCTATTATCTCTTACTGATCTTTACTATTTACTTGTGATTTCACTTCATTCCTAATCTCACTGCCTTTAACTTGCTCACACCTGTTTAAAACATACATAGTGAACAATTAAACTTCATTTTTTTTTTCAAATTTGATCACCATTCAAAATTATCCATTGAATGGTCTTACGTGGACATATTTCAGCTAGGGATTGCTCACAATCTCTGTTTGCAATGTACTATTCCTTTGAACTATTCACCTTATGTTATAGGTCACCTGAGTCACATAACACAATTTCCATTGGCATATTAGTAGAGCTCCCAAAATTGGAAAGAGCCTTCACTAATTTCAGTGCAAACAATCATGTAAATACGTTTTGCATGGGAATTTGTGACACTTACTCTTTCTGAAAAAAAAAACAAAAAACGTGTATGAAGACAATTTCACTATTCAATTTTTTGCAGAAAACAGGTCAGAGATTGTCAGTGAAATTTCCTGGGTTTTATCTGGATAAACTGATCATAAATATATTCCTTGCAGTATTCACACAGATCTAAATATGTCTAACATTTCCTAACCCTCTTTTCTGAATATGTTTTTGATTTTAATATAAAAATTAGTGATCAAGGCTTCAGACAACCATTACATAAATAGGAGTAATATTACATAAATACCTGCCCAGAAGACAATTACTGCACAGTTAAACCCAAATGTCCAAATCCTATATTCTGTATATAATCAAAACCCCTACAAATGCCCAAAACAATTATGCCTCTTGCTATTCAGAAGGTCAGACTAGATGATCTAGCAGTCCCTTCTGGCCTTAAATTTGGTGGTTCTGTAATCTCATCCAAATAACACCACATATTAAATAGACAAAAATGAGAAGGGAGAGGGAAGATGGAAAGGATTTTCAGGGAAAGAAAAATAAAATGATACCACTGGCAGACTTATTGATACATCTGCATACCAGAAATGTCCCCTGAACCAACCTTTTTATAACAAGCTCCTAACTTACCTCAATAGTTTACTCAGAAGTTTTTATACATTATATAGCTATATTCAGCAGCTTTCTCTTCTCCTTTTAAAGAAAAGTGCACTTTTTGCTTTGTGGAATGGGCCCCTGCTTACGGTACCTTGTGGGAGTGAATTTCACATATCATTAGACGAACGGTTCTTTGAGCCTCAGACTGCCAGGGATACATTATAACAGCACTGCTATAGTTTAGCAACCACCGGTGTTTCCAATATAAACTCCATTTTTCAAGGGTTTATAAAAGTCAGCCATTTTAATTTGCATTGAGCTGAAACTGGGCATACACACTGTGAAGCAGGATATTTGTGTTTTGTTGTTCGCATGACATGACACAATATAGCAGAGGCAGGAGTGTAGCCTAGTGGATAGTGCCCTGCACTGGAAGAAATGGGTTCAATTCCTGGTGCTGCCAGTGGCCTGCCGGGTGACCTTAGGCAAGTCATGTCACCTCCCTGAGCCTCAGTCTCCCCATGAGTAAAATTGGGATAATGATACTTTACACCTTTGTAAAGTGATTTGAGATCTACTGATGAAAAGCTCTATTTAAGAGCAAGATATTATTTATTAATTAATATTAAAGCACTGGAAAATGGTTTCAAAGGCTTTTTTTGGGGGGGTCACTAACAAAATATGAAGGTTTATTTTTCTTTCCATGTGCATGGTGCAACTCACATTCATTCCAAATGATGTTACAATAGAACCTCAAAGTTACGAACACCAGAGTTACGTACTGACAGTCAATCAAACTGAGAGTACACAGACAGCAGAGATAAAAAAAAGAAGCAGCAGCAGCAGCATATATTGTACAGTGTTAAATGCAAACTACTAAAAAAAACCAAAGGGAAAGTTAAAAAAGATGTGACAAGCTAAGGAAACTTTTTCTGTGCTTGTTTCATTTAAATTAAGATGGTTAAAAAGCAGCATTTTTCTTCTGCATAGTAAAGTTTCAAAGTTGTACTAAGTAAACGTTTAGTTGTGAACTTTTGAAAGAACCACCATAGCATTTTGTTCAGAGTTACGAACATTTCAGAGTTTACAACCTCCAGTCCCAAGATATTTGTAACTCTGAGGTTCTACTGTAGATGTGCATATAGGCCATGGAGGTAGGACACTGGAAAGGTGGGAAGAAAAGTGGCAGACACTGCCTACAAAAATCCCTCTGTAGCAACTACGCTGGGGGGTTGTGCAGTTGGAGATGATGCTTGTTTTGGCCAGGAGATGGAGCAGCACTTCTCCAAAGCATATTCCCCCGAGAACTCAGCACACTTCTGGTCCAAGTTTTCAAAGATCTCTGAGGTGAAATAAGTAAAAGTCAAAAGTACTCTGTAAAGGTGACAGGCAATATTGACGGTTTAGAAGTCTTTCAGAATTTTACAGGTCTATTCCTCTCTCATATCAATGGGAGGTTTGTGTCTCTGTGATTCAGAAGGCAAGCTAAACTATTGTATATGAAGTGGTGAACACATGCAGAAGATGCCAGAAGATACATGTGGCCAAAATATTCCAAAGGGTAATTCAGTTCATAGTTAGAGCTGAGCAGATAGAGTGAATGGTCTAGAATGGACCAGAATACTTGTCATTACATTGAAAGCTCTCCAAAACCCCTGTAGCACATATTCTATGCAAATCTGTTCTCATTGTATTTGCCATTTGCACATCAGGGCAAAACTGCAGCCTTGCAGGGCACAACAAGAGTTTACATTTACCACTGAAAATGTGTCTGTTTGCTTCCCACTCTCCCCTCCTTCCATCCATCAATCCTGTTCTGCTCTTAGTTACCTGCTTCTGCTTGTCCAGGAGGTAGACAGTTCAGAAATTCCCATAATCAAGTTAAGTGTGAAGGATTTCATTTCACATATTCCTGAGGAAAAGACCAAATACAAAACCATGTCCAGTTTAGAACTTATAAGAACATATGATCACTATAAAATCTCAAAAGATAAGCAACACTACTCAGCATGAATAAGATCCAATATGTGAAAAATGGTTTGCTATAATTTTTTTTTAAGAGATGACCAAAAATAGGTGTAGTTTTCTTCATCCAGTTTAAGACTCATCTCATGTGGAAGAACAAAAACAAATTGCTAATGCAAAATGTGAGAGGCATTTTGCAGTATGTTGAAAAATGTGGCATGTACAACACTGAAACAGGTTGCATACCCACTTCCAAGCTTTGGCTGTCATCAGGTGGCAGGAGCATGGCCCAGCCTGGTAATGTCCAAAATATGAAAAGCAGGTATGTGGCATACTTTTACTTCAAAGACATGCATAACACAAACACTGCTATAGCTATAGATAGAATATAACCATTTGTTACCAAGAATCATGACTGTGAATGAAGTAACAAGAACAAAGTGTCCAGCAAAAGAGCAACCTGATATCAGAACTGCAAGGCTTATGTGACCTTTTGCAAAAACACTGTCCAAAATAATGAAAAAACACCTGATCTTTTTGTACTATTGTGCTGTGATCAATAAACATGCTGAGCCTGATTCTGATATCATGCTGGTTTCACACTCCACTGTCTTCACTAGCATACATGAGATCAGAATCATGACCATTTTATGGAGCTATTAAATCACTTAATATCATGCAGATTCAGCAATGTTGCATGCTGTAGTGGTTAGGAAGCCATTTTACTGTAGTATATACTAGAAATAACCACATCTGTGTATATTCTGCTAATGTACACAATACTGAGGTGCTCGGTATAAGTATAGTTGAAAATTAAGTGCCTAAATTTGGGCACTTATGTCAGAAAATTTTGATCATATACAGTATTCTGTGAAGTATACACAATGAAGCAGCATTTGTATGGCTCTTTGTAAGTCTCTTACTGAAAAAAAAATTAATATAATGGGATTTTCCTTAAAGGCATGACCTGATGTTGATTATGTTGGTACAGGAAGCACACACAACAAATAGTATTCTGGTTCTAGAGGTATTACTGGTTCCAGTGGTATCCCTCATTATATACATGGTGAATATTGCTAGAATGAACATTTTAACTGAGCCCACATTATATGCTGTCAAAGATGTTAAATACAGAGTAAGGTTCAATTTAGTGGTCTAGGCTGCATGGTCCTGATCATTAGCAAGAGCTAGTGGATAATATTTGTTAATATACGCTAAATTCAGCAGAAGAAGCAGAAGCTGAAGCAATTATTTTGAGCCAAGGCTTTTCTTGCTCCTTTTGGCCCAGGACCTAGAGAAATGATCATCATGAGGTTTAGCTTTTGCGACAAAAAAAGCTCTCCCCCATCCCCAAAATATCCTGAGAACATTCTGCTGTAACCTGAGAAAGACTCAGCTAACCACACCTGAGGTAATTTGCACTCAAGTCTTAACTGAATTGTAGGCAGCACAAGGAAGTTTCTTGTAGTCTAATGAGTTCCATCAACCCCATGTTAAGTGTTCCTATGCAGCCACATAACCACTAAGTAGGAAAATGGCACATATTACACAATGCTGGGCATCCTTTTCATTCACAGAAAACAAGGGAGTTACATGCCACTTTAAATCACGTTTTTGTTCACTTTGAAAATAATGAGGACAGATTCACAACTTGTGTAAATTGACATAGTGGCACTGAAGTCAATGGAGCTATGCTGATTTACATCAGTCGCATTCTAGCTCAGAGTTTTTAATAACTAAAAATCAGAATGTTTAGCTATGCTTCCAACACCACTACAATATTTTAGTACCATTTATATTAGTGTTACCTTTCTGCCAAATGCTCTGTACAGTTTGATTTTTTCCCAATTAGTACTTTATATATAGACAGACATCCATTTAAAACATTGCTGTATAAAACTGAGCAATTGTCTAAAGCAATTCATTGCATTGATTTTTTTTTATTTGTTAACTATTACTGACCCAAACACATCAATGTAATCAGTTCCTTTGCTTTTCCGTTTCAGTCATTACATTTGCTAATATGGGAGTAAAAAGTATACAGCAGTCATTGCAAAATTAACAGTTTTTAATTTCAAACTTGAAATTAGTAGTAAAAATGACCTGACTGCTAATATAATATAGATTCTTTTAAAAAAAAAACCCTGAAAAACTCATTATGGGGAATTAACACAATCATTATTACATGAGATTAATCAATATTCTCTAGTTTAATAGACTACAAAAGTACATTTAAATTTGAATATTTGTATCAATAGCTATATAGGAAAATATGCATTTGATTAAAGCTCTTGAAACAACCACAGTCGACCATATTTCCTGATATTAAATGTGATGAGAAAGTCTTCCATGATCCACCAGTAGTACACAGGAAAAGAACAAATGCAAATCATAAAGTTAATGCCATGTTTAGATCACTGTAGGTATTAGAGTCATATTCCTTCTCAAAAGGCTAGAACCCTGAACATAAAATGAAATTTTCTAAAAAACTGCCCAGTGAGGTCATTTCAGTGACAACAAACAAGTGTAAATATGGCATTGTTGAATTTTTTGGGAACTGCTGACACTCAACCTTTGGCTTGGCACCTTTCTTGACACCAGAAAGATACAGTAATTTCCCAAAAATATATTGCCTGTAATTCCATAATTTTTAGGCCCAATTCTGCCCTTTAATCTCATGTAGCACTCCTATTCATGTCTATGGAAATACTTGTTTCAGTCCAGGAGAATAGCATGCACTCATTTTATACATATATTTATAATTCTCTCCTGTACTTGTCATACAAATTCACTGCTGTCACCCAGGGGTTAGTGATACCTTTTTCTTAAGAACCTGAAGTAATGGAAATACAAATGGAATTGCTTGTACAGTATGTCTTGTTAGAAGTGCATGCTTTACCTTAGCAATTGATACTGATCAATTAACTTGCATTGCCGATAGCCATGTAATGAGTAATTTGTGGTAGACACATTTTAGAATATGGGCAGTGTCAGTGAATCAAAAAAACCTTAAAAAGTATCTGTCATGCCCTTCTGGTTATTTCCATCCAGTTCAACCCTATGTAAATCCTTGGGTTATTGATTATATAAATATTATGGTGACGCTCTACAAATTAAAATAAATAGCTGATTCTGCTCTCTACTTTTTTAATGTATTATTTTTGTTTGACTATCAAACACCTGCTTTAATACAAAAAGCCTGTAATTTCCTTGTAATCACAACACACACAGTATACAGGCATATTCACAACATGTTTATAGTATGGCTAGACTTTTTTAAAAGATGGATAATTTTATGACCAATAAACATTTGCTGTTGTACACATTAAGATGAGGTAATCAGGACTAATGCATCAGGAAATCAGCTAATCTCTGCAGCGGCAAGGGGATTTTACTATCAAAAACATATGGCATTTCTCAGCTATGTGTGGATCATGGGACTTTCTGTTCACCTTTCTCTGAAACAGGCACAGGCCTTCAGGGACCATTCTTACAGGAACTGGTTGAAAATTGGAATTTCCATCTGGTAGGAAATTCTAATAATTTGAAATATGTTTTAGTCCCAAATTGGGACAAAAACTTGAAATATCAGAACTTTTCATGAAATGTAAAGTTCAGAACATTTTCTATTCAGAAATGTCAAAATATTTAATTTTGAATTATTGAACGGAATCATAATTTTTGGTTCAACATGAATTCATTACACCACCCTTCAAATTGCCATCGTGTCTCATGGGGGTTGTAGTTTGGGTGTTTCATACCCCTATTCTCCTCTATGGGCCAGGCTCTCTGGCTGGACTACACACCTATGATACATTGTGGCCATGATGCCCCACAGTCGTTTAAAATAGAGCATAACCACAGAGCAGCATAGGAGATGTAGTCAAGCCAAAGAGCACATCTCATCGAAGAAGATATAGTTTGAGTGCTTCATGTCCCCAACTCCCATGAGGTGGGACGGCAGCGAGCTGACCAGAAACAAAACTTTTCAATTCAACTAAACTGAAATGTTTTGATTCTGGTTCTCCTGATCCAAAATGAAATATTTCTTTTTTTCCCCTCCAAATGAAATATTGAATTTTTTTTGGCAAAAATCTAAATTTCTCCATGGAAAATGTCAATTTTGTGGAAATAGTGTTTTCTGTTAAAAATGTTGATGCAAAATAGTGGCTCAGCTCTCATTGTAACAAGGTAGCAGAGTATACATGTATATATCATTTATCTAATTCTCTTATGCATATATTGTTCCTGCAAACTAGTCTTGAAAATACAGTGAGTACATACATGCGAGTCTCAAAAAATATTTCCTTCATTAGTCTTTTCAGAACCTTATTTTCCATTTCTCTTTCATTCAGCGTTAACACCTTTACTTTCCTCAAGACAGCAAGTACATCAGTTTGAATACTGGAGGAAATTATTCATTGAATAAATTATTCTTTGAAGAGAGCTAGTCAAAGATGTCACAAAATTATTCTTTAAGAATTTGGTTGACAAATAGTGGCACAATTCACTGAATAATGTGTTCACAGAAGAATGTTTACTATCTCTGTCAGAGTTTACAGTTTATTAATTCTATAATTTAGATATTAATAGTAATTTACATATCTGTAAACTATTACTTCAACAAAAATGACATGAAATTATTGTAATATTCTCATTCCAAAGAGAAAACATTTCATTATAGGGCATAGTAATGCTTTTAAAATATAATCTTCAGCTGGTGTACATCAGCATAGCTCCATTTGTCTTCAACATAACTGCACTTCTGGTAGAAATTTTAGCCTATAATATCATTTTTTGATTCTGTTCAGAATTCATTATCTGTCTATACTGGAAGGAAGACAGGAGGCACTGGATATGGTTTAATCAGGCTACAACTTTATTATTAGATGTCTGGGACTATCTGGCAGATAAAAAGTCGACAGTGCAGGTAACTCCATGATCATT